ATGCTGAGATCAGATTTGACCATTTGAGTCGGTTGATTTTATTGTATATAAGCTTTCTGGATTCCATAATATAATCATTAAAACAAAAATATTTAAATACTGACAATTCATTGTAGACTTTTTCTCAAAGATTTAACTAAAATTGAAGTGGAAATCTCTGCTCCCTAATAAATTGCTAAAAACATATTAGAAAAAAAATGAACCTATAAGACTGATTCCTGCAAAAAAATTTACATTAAAGGCTCAGAGCCTGTAGCTCAGTGGCTAGGGCACTGGCCACATACACTGAGGCTGGTGGGTTGGAACCCATCTTGGGCCTGCCAAACAACAGTAACAACAACTACAACAAAAAAATAGCCAGGCGTGTGGCAGGTGCCTGTAGTCCCAGCTACTTGGGAGCCTGAGTCAAGAGAATCGCTTAAGTCCAAGAGTTTGAGATTGCTGTGAGTTGTGACCCTACAGCACCCTATCCAGGGCAATATAGTGAGACTCTGTCTCAAAAAAAAAAAAAAAGTATTTACATTAAAAATTCACAAGTCACATTTGAATGTAAGATTTGTAAAATCCTCAAATGTGCCTGATTCTTCCAGTAATACCACTTGAAGAATAATAATTCCTTGTTTAAAACTATTCCCTTGGCTCGGCGCCTGTGGCTCAAGTGGCTAAGGCGCCAGCCATATACACCTAAGGTGGCAGGTTCAAATCCAGCCCAGGCCTGCCAAACAACATGACAGCTGCAACCAAAAAATAGCCAGGCCATTGTGGTGGGCACCTGTGGTCCCAGCTACTTGGGAGGCTGAGGCAGGAGACTCGCTTGAGCCCAGTAGTTGGAGGTTGCTGTGAGCTGTGATGCCATAGTACTCTACCCAAGGGGACAGCTTGAAGCTCTGTCTCAAAACAAACAAACAAAAAAAACTACTCCCTTAATATTCACACAGTGATCCATTCACTTTCCATACAATATATAAATTACTTTTGATTTGTAGGATCTTTTGGCTATTTCACTGCTATAAGTAGCACTCTCTGTAATTCTCTATGGCTTTTTTCTTTGTGTAATATTGCTTTGAATTGTTATCTACTATCTCAACTTTGGGTAAATTATAGAAAAAATTGTATTTTGAGGCAGCTAATAATTTTTCAGACTTAATTTTACACCTCAGTAAAAATAGGCATAATATGTAGAATAAAGAAATAGTAAATGAGAAATATTTTGTGTAGGGTCCTTTAGCTACTAAGTAATATGTCTAAAGGATTACAGATGAATACAATACTGACAAGACACCAAAAATGTTAGATAAATATATTTCCTATTGGAATACTATCAGGAAGTCAGAGAGTAATTTCTCTTTATATAAGATTAGTAAAGGAGAGGAAAAGTGGCAAAGAACTCCAATATTTTTATGTATACATGAATTTTTTTTTTTAAGACAGAGTCTCACTATGTCACCCTGGGTAGAGTGCTGTAGTGTCACAGCTCACAGCAACCTCAAACTCTTGGGCTTAAGTGATTCTCTTGCCTCAGCCTCCCAAGTAGCTGAGACTACAGGCACCTGCCATAATGTCTGGCTTTTTTGTTGTTGTTGTTGTAGTTGTCATTGTTGTTTGGCAGGCCTGTCCTGGATTCAAACCCACCAGCTTCAGTGTATGTTGCTGGTGCCCTAGCTGCTGAACTACAGGCACTGAGCCTATACATGAATTCTTTTGATAAAACTATGTAGCACACACCCAACCTGCTCTCTCCCTTAATCCGGCAATCTCATTTGTACCCAAAACTTGGCTATCATTTCAAAGTATTCAAGCCACCTGAAACTCACTTGGTACACTTAAGGGTTTTGTATTACTGTGGTCTGAATGTGTCCCCACAAAATTCACATGTTGAAATCTAACTGGCAATGTGATAGTATTGAGAAGTGGGGATTTTGGTAGGTGAATGGGATTAGTGCCCTTATAAAGAGACCCCAGAGAGCGAGTTAGCCCCTTTCAACACATAAAACACAACAAGAAAACTATGAGGAATGGGACCTCATGAAACACTGAACCTTTATCTTGGACTTTGCAGCCTCCAGAACTGTGAGAAGTAAACATTTGTTATCAATCACCCAGTCTATGGTATTCCAGCCCTCCCGAATACACTAAGACATATATAAATAAATAATCATTTTGGGAACAGAATAATCTGTAAGAAAACAAAAATAAAAACTGCCTCCACAGGCAAGTAGTAGAAAATCCTACTTCAAAACAGAGCTAAATTCCAAACTGCATGTATAGGAATTAAATTTTTAATAAAAACTTAATTCCTTATACATGCAGTATTGAAAATGGCATTCCAGGCTAGGCACCTGTGGCTCAAGCAGCTAAGGCGCCAGCCACAAACACCTAAGGTGGCAGGTTTGAATCCAGCCCGGGCCCGCCAAACAACAATAATGGCTGCAACCAAAAAATAGCCGGGTGTTATGGCGGGTGTTGTGGTGGTCCCAGCTACTTTGGAGGCTGAGGCAGGAGACTCGCTTGAGCCCAGGAGTTGGAGGTTGCTGTGAGCTGTGATGCCATAGTACTCTACCCA